ATTAAATGAATTCTAGTTTGATAACAGAAAGACAATGAAATATTATGGTGGATGATAAAGTAATGAGTTGATTATGCAAAATAAATAATACAATATTTGCCTAATAAGAAATACATTAAAACCAGTTTGTATACAATGTAATGAAGAAGTTCAATTTAAATAATAAAATATCTCATAAACTACTATATAAGACAATAACACACATTACTATGTGTGATCTATCATTTAATTTTACTGTCTTTTACATATTTTTCCCCTCTAAACATTAGTATTTCGTGTTCTGTTTTAGAATACCAATTCTGGAAAACCCTAATATTGTTCTTGTATTTTATTATAAGAACCATTTACTCGACTTTGGGAGCCCATCCCCATAGAGGGATACTCTCTCAGCCTAGACACATGGTGGAGGGCCTAGGCCCTGCCTCAAATGATGTGATAGACATTGATGATCCCCCATGGAAGGCCTCACCCTCCCTGGGGCGCAGAAGGGGGGATGAAATGGGGGGTTTGGTGGAAGGCATGGGAGGATGGGAGGGAGAGGGAACTGGGATTGATATGTAAAATAAGATTGTTTCTAATTTAAATAAAACAATCTAGAAAAAAAGAACCATTTACTCATTGATATGTTAAATATCTTGCCAATGCAATTAATTTCTATAGTCTGGTAACATCTTGTGACTATATGAATAATAAATGGGAAATACCAGAAGCACTGCCATTTGAAGTCTTACTTTTCAATATTTTGGGTTTAAGGGATTATAAAATAAATAACTTCTCCTTTGAAAAGGGGATTAGAATAGGGAAGAATAAAGAAAACTGAACAAGGCAAGAATGGAGGAGAAATAGTTAATTGAGAAGAGATATACATAGTGAGGGGAGGAAAAGAAATACATTAGGAAGGAAAACAAAAAATATAAGGACAATTTACTTAGAAAACTGGGGAGAAAGCACATTTAATGTTAAACAGAATCATGATATACATGCTTCTAAATGACACCCAGGAAAGAAGTTAGAGCTAAAGGGGAACATGGGGAGATGAACTTTAATATATTGTGACTATGTTGACTTCTCTCCCTTCCAAAAATGCTCTTATTCTGGGATTGAAGAACAAAAAGTTGAGGTCACAGTCAGAAATGAGAAGCTACACTGAGAATCAGAGAGGCACAGTCAAAACTAGAATGAAGTTCTCAAATAAGCCAATAGTCCTTCAGTCTGTCCCCTTCCCTTTGTCTCGTTTGTTATGACTTACAAGTCGTTCTCAGTAATATTTACCATCTTCAGTGTAAAAAGGAGACTATCTCATAAAGCTTATCTTCCATCGCTCAGTAATCAATGATTAACAACACTACTCATGCAGTCTATCTTCTTGACATCTCAACCTGGTTATTCCATTTAGGTAGCTTTTATAACCAGATCTATTGAACCATATTTGCCAAAATCTTCAAGAAGTGCTAGAAAACCTTTCACAATCACAACGGATATGTTTTAATGCTAACACAAAATAGAAGGGACTTTTTAAAATGCCAGATTCAATCACCATACATATCCCCTTCTTTGAAATGATATACCTAATAAGAAAGTGTCTCCTTAAAGTATGGTTAAAACACTTACACAAAACACCCACACACACACACACACACACACACACACACACACACACACACACACACACACACACACACGCAGGATTAACCTGTAATTTAGCAGATTTGTTATGGATATGCTCAGATTTTTAAAAATAACTACAGTATCATCAGCAAAAAAAAAAAATGTTTAAACTCCATCATGAGGACAGAGTTGCTGGTTCAAACTATGCCAAAATGGTAGGAAGATGGAGGGGGAGTGAGAATGGGAGAAAGAGAAGGAGAGACAGGAAGGGAAAGTTGAGAAGGGGGGGGCGGGAGGGATTGAGGGAGGGAGCAGGCAGGGGAAAAGGGGAGAGGGAGAAAGGGAGATGGAGAGAGGGAAAGGGAGAGGGAAAGAGGAAGACAGACAGATAAAATGTAGGGTGTT